TCTGGAACGCGTGTTGGCCAGAACGGCAAACGTACGCACGCCATGACCTCTGTGCTGTCAGAAAAATACTGACGCAGTAATGGATTCCCCTTTCCTTCAACACATGACAAGTTATCAGAAAATATTTAAAGAATAAGTATCAAATGTATGGAAAATCCTTCATTAGTATGAAATTTATGGTCTATGCAAGATTTTTCTCCAACTAAAATATTCATATCATGAAAAATTACTGATTTTTGAAAATTATTGTTTTTACAATCATTACTTGTATAGACAGATAAATATCTGGATAATTAATATCCATAGTCTCACAGCCTTTAATGTAAATCTAATACACATAATAAAATATACAGGAGTCAAAAATAATATTGGACAATAAAATAATTAAATTTTTGATTTATAAAACCAAATGAAACAAAAAGAAAACAAAAGCAATCTGCAAAACTGTGACAGAAGTTACTGCACTAAAATTGCTTCATGGGTGAATATGTAGATGATTTTTATACCTTTCTTAACCAAGAGAGATTTCTCTCATTTCTCAATAGTTTATACATAGGTAAGGCCACTAGATGTCACTATAAGCTAAATGATTTTGGTAAACATCTACAATGAACTGATTTAAAGATTAAAAGGATGTTTCCTAGAGAGTTTGGGTTCAAGTTATAAAAATGTCATTCTACATTTTTGCCTAAATTTTTTTATGGTTTTCTAAATTATATTTTATTTCTTAAAGACTTCTAGAACAGATTTACTCTGCAAAAGTCATAGTAGGGAATAGGTTTACAGAACTGCTGTGTGCGTGCCAAATAAAAGGGGGGAAATAAGGCTGTAAAACAGAGGTGAACCTCAATATTATTTATAAAACAGTAATGCAAAAACTAGCAGACCGAGTGGGGTGTTAGAGAATGCATGATTTTTTAATACCAAACTATAGATTTCTGTAAAATGTGGCATATAAACTCAACTATTACAGTTAATATGAAATGCATTATAGAAATTCTAATTGATCATGCCACATTTGAATATGAATATGAATCAGACCAAACAAATCGCTTTCTTCCTAATGTTCATTGACTACAAAGCTACATAGGTGGCGTGCTATGTGGTTCTCAAGTATTTCACAAAGTACTTCAGTGAGATTTCTCCTGCTGTGCCTAGAGATCCATTTATGATCCACCTGTGGGATCCACTACCTTCACAGGAAGAAAAGCCTGGATCTCAGTTTGAAAATAGAAACAGAGCCCTAATTTGCTGACCTTTAGAATGTGTGGCTTGAAAGCCTTTTCTTCCTCATGGGGTACAAAAGAACCTGAATGGATAGTCAGGGGAGTATCTAGCTGTCTCTCCATTTGTTTGCCTACCCACCCATCCCATGTTCATAGTCAGACCCCTGAGTGGAAATGCTCTGGAAGTGGCAGACGGGGACTGCTCATGTCCTGCCTCTCACCAGAGAGGACTCATCAGCTTCCCTGGTCCTTGTGTGCACATCTACAGCCTTAGTGTCAGTTTGTAACTGTTGGAAAACCAATAAGAGAAAATTGACTTAACTGCACCCAGAGAACTTTATTAAATATGAAATCAAGCTTCTGAATTGTAAAATCAATATTATTTTAAGAGGGAAATAACAATATCTGAAAACCGCATCAAATACCATACTTTCCCGTGTATAATGTGCTCCTATGTAAAATGAGCACCCATGTTTTGGGGCCAAAATTTCAGGAAAAAATCTTTCATTTTAATTTTTTAATTCAATGATTTATTTATTTATTTATAATTGGAAACAAAACCAATTATTATATTCCAGAGTATTGTTTTGCATACAGATATTGTTATTGCATTCTAGAGTTATACTTTTAATGCATAAGCATAAATAAAATTAAAAACATTTATATAGAAACAGAATTAGTACTACCCATGTATAATGCACACCCTTACTTTTTCCCTCAAAAATTTAGGCAAAAAGTATGCAGTATACACAGCAAAATATGGTACCTATCTGTTCTGAATGTGATTTAGAATAATTCATCTAAAAATATAAAGAACAAAGAAAAGTACTACATAGAAAACTGTAATAATGATGGGGTAACGCATTCTAAGCATATAAAGAAGAAACATGGGATCAGAATTCACAGACCACACATGTTCAGTCCATTGACTGGTCCACTGCAATTAAGTGAATAGATAACTGCGTGACCACTCCCTCCCCAAGGAGATGCAGGATGTGTGGAGGAAACCATACCGTCTGCTGTACAGAACAGAGCAACCCCACACAAAGTGACATTGAGGCGGGGGTTGGGGGCATACTGACACCCGGTCCGGAGCCACCTGGCTCCAGCTTTTTATCAAGTTACTAATGGAATCAGACTGACTCTGTGGGAATCAAATTAGGCAAAGGTTTTGCAGTGATATATTCTCAAGCAATGCAAACAACTCTCATTCATTTGGGTATTAGTGAATTTTCCTCTTGGAATGGGTAGCAGTGTGTTAGGTCAACGGCAACGACAGACAGGGTGGTCCTTATCCAGCAGCCGGCCTAACCGGAGTGCTCTGCCACACACCGGCAAAGGCGTGACTAACCACACGCTGAGATCGCATAAATCTGGCCCTCAGTGTCATCGAGACATCCCCGTAGAGGGTGCCCCATGTAGAGTGACTTTGCCTCAATACAAAATATTTCTAGGCCACAGAAAAGTAGTCTGGGAGCCCACGGGAAATTAGAAATCTTTAAAATACATTTTAAAGTTTCCAAAGATCAAGTGAGATACACGATTTATTTCTTTATTCTGTGACACACATCATCATGAACCTCTGTATCTAATTAATGCAGGATGTGAACATTTCCAGCCACTAGAGACCAGTGCCACAGCAGTGCCCCACCAGGACACTGAGATGCCCTAAGGGCCCTTTAGCTGCACTAGGAAGGCAGGACAGCCGGCACAGCTGATGTATGGAGCTTCGAGGAACTCTTTTGTGGGGATTTCAGAATATTTTTATTAAGCACTTATACTAATACTTTATAAATATTTTAGTATTCAGACTTAAACCTTACTCTTTCCATTATTATATTTCTTTGATTTTTAAATTTTTCTTCTAGATTTCATTTTATTTTTATTGTTGACACTACTACAGATGTTCCTATGTCCCCCCTGCCCACCCACCTACCTCCCCCCAGCCCTCCCCCACTTTCCCTCTGGCCATCACCACGCCGTTGTCTGTGTCTACAGGAGTTACACATGTGATCTTTGGCCATTCCCTTCACCTTTTATCCACTTCTCCCCTGCCCCTGACAGCTGTCAGTCCGCTCCATGTGTCCATGCCTTTGGTTCTGTTTTGTGTGCATGTGTGTTTATTTTGTTAGACTCTACATATAAATGAGATCACATAGTATTTGCCTTTCTCTGAATGGCTTATTTCACTCAGCCTAATAATCTCCAGGTCCATCCATGCTGTTGCAATAGGTAAGATTTCTTTCCTTTTTATGTAATAGTCCATTGTGTAAATGTACCAGTTTTTGTATCCAATCATCTACTGATGGGCATTTCGGCTGTTTTTGGATCTTAACAATTGTGAATAACTCTGCTATGAAAATAGGGGTGCATATACTCTTTTGAATTGGTGTTTCAGATTTTGTTGGAAGCCGCCCTACCTGGTTTCAGGAGCTGTAACTCCCCCGTGGCTAAGGCTGAGTGAGCAACCTTTGGACCTTAAGCCACTAAGGAGACAAAGGTTATCTCCCTCGCAGGAGTGCCGCTTCTGCTTCTTTTTTCATAAACTGGCCTCCAATGCTTGATCAGTTAGCCAATGACGGGTAAGATTCCCCAAGGGGGGAACGACCTAAGACAGGCATGATCACGTGGAGGCCCCAGGGAAGGACTTGGGGGCTGTGGAGAAAGGGGGTGATGGACCCTCATCCCTTGGCTTTGACAAAGCCTGCATCCTCAGTCTGTCTGCCAGAAGTCTCCTAAATTTCTTGGCTATCTTGCCTCCTCTACCTGACTTAAGCTTGAAAAAATGACTGAGGCTGGTGCAGCCCTGTGCTGGAAAGGGTGAGGTCCCAGGGAAATCAGGCCTGAGAATGAATATGTAAAATCCTGTGAAGCCTGCTTTGCTAAGAATCTCTTAATTAAATGCTAAAGGTCCAAGCAGGAAATGAGTTTGTTTCCCAAAGTTTTGTAGCCTTTTAGCTGATAGACCCTGACTCAAAAGAAGCCCTAATAGTTATTTGTATGCTACCTATTGTTTGATCCTTACTGCCTGACAATGATTAATGTAACTGAACCCAATAAAAGCCTATCTAGGCAAGGGTCAGCATGTTCTCCCCTTGAGAGGGTGGTCAAGTGGCTCTGAGGCGCTCCCCCCTTGAGGGAGTAGCTGTGCAGTCCATTTTCCTCCACAGGACATGGTAGTCCATGTGGAGGAAGATGTGAATTTGTCTCATATCTCATCCATGATGCCACAGGCACTTTAGGCCAGTGCATGCATCAAGGTTTCTTAGAATATTCCCAGAAGTAGGATCACTGACTCAAAAGCAGTCCCATTTTTAATTTTTGGAGGACACTCCATACTGTTTTCCACAGTGGCTGCACCAGTCTGCATTCTCACCAACAGTGCACTAGGGTTCCCTTTTCTCCAAATTTCCAGCATCACTTGTTTTGTTGTTGATTTATTGATGATACATTCTGGCAAGTATAAGGTTTTATACCTTATTGTGGTTTTAATTTGTATTTCTTTGACGATTAGTGATGTTGAGCATTTTTTTATATCTCTATTGCCATCTGCATGTCCTCTTTGGAGAAGTGTCTATTCAGGTCCTTTGCCCATTATTAGTTTATATTTGGATATAAAAAAGTTTTATATCCAAATTTCCAGTCATTTCTAATAAAAGGCACATCAACATGATATCATTATTTCATCTTTAGCCCACAAATAAAATTCATACCACATTTCTTAACATTAAGAAATTAAATTTTGGCACAGTCAAGAAATAACATCACTCTAAATAAATCTTGAATGCTGTACTTTAATTAAGCACCACATGAAAATATGCTAGGAGAAAGCAGACATTAAACACATCTCTTCAAGTAACTCTTAGACACCCCACATTCAACACCAAAATTTCAGTTCACCCAAGTTAACATCATACAATTACTTGTAAAATATATGCTTCAAAATAATCAAATTACATAAAATTTTAAATGAACAGAATCCAGGTCTCCAGTTGAGCATTTACATAGCATTTACTATTCTGTCAGCCAATGTACTTAGGAGGCAGAACAATTGACATTTTTGCTTTTAGCAGAATGGGAGCTTATAGGTTTAAGTGTGTTTTAATATAGCACTACAGAAATCAGCCAAGATTAAATCAGGAATATGTATCCTGTACTAGTTTACTCTTAGAAATTTTGACTAACATGCATTTTTTCCCATTTTTTCCCATTTTGTGAAATTCCTTTTCTCTGTTGTATCTTAGCCCAAGAGTCAGGACTTATAAAACTTTAAAATTTCCTCATATTGTAAGTGGTAGGGTAGGTGCCTAAACAGGTTTGATCTGCTGATAGTTATGGGAGAGGCAATGGGAAAATAAGGAAACATCTGAGAGGATAAAAATCCACCCATGAGCACAGTTACACAGACAAGTGTACGTGTAAAGGTTCGGCAGATTATCAGAATTGTGGGATGGTGGGCAGAGGACAAGTAGGAAACTTGGTACCTGAGTTCTAACTCCAGATTTCTTAGACTTTTTATATGAGCTTGGGCAAGTCAAAGTCTTGGGCATCAGTTTCTTCAATTTAGAAAAACAGAGTTTGGCCAGGTTTATTAAGTTATTAAAGTCCCTTTTGGATGAATAGTTATATTACTTTAAGGTTTATATAACTGTAGATACCTAATTATTATCAGGTACTGCTTTGGCACCAGTGAAAAAACATCAGTTTCAATACTATTTAAACCAACAAGTGCACTACTAACATTTTCAAAATGTGACACATTACAGACCAATGAAATACTGTTATCTCTGAATGGTTATTTTCTTTCATTTAGGAAACTTTAACCTTCTGATCAAAAATGCTATATTGTTTGTTTATTTATGTAACATTACTATTTTCTTGGTTATTATGAAACTTAAGTTCTGCATAATTACTTTTAGTATTATATTTAAATTCCTAGAGAAATATTTTCACATATTCATTAAATTTTCTATTTTCTTTGAATTATCAGCATTCTTCAAATGATACTACAATTTATAAAACTAGAAGTTTATGTATGTTCTTAATTCAAATTAAAATTCCTTTATATTATAAATTAATAAAAACTTAATGAGCAAATATCTACATTGGTGATTTTCAACCTTTTTCATCTCATGTTACACGTACTTACTAAAATTCTGTGGCACATCAAAAAATATAAATATTTTTGCTGATAACAAAAAAATGGTATAATTTTGATTCATTCTCACTTCGTGGCTATTGTGTTGGTTGTTGCCATTTTTATTTGACAATTTATGGAAAAAGAGGTCATTTCCTTTGAATAAATAGTCAGGTATTAATGTGTTTTAAAATTCTTGTGGAACACTGGTTGAAAATCGCTGACGTACACTGATATTTTTAAAGGAAATACAGGGAAACCATATTCCTTAGACAATGTATTAAAGAGATTATTACCAGGCTTGATTCTCCCCTTGGGATCTCAAGTGGCAAAGATAGTACTGGACTTTCACCCAGCTCCCAAAAGTCAGCTTTATTTCTGCTGCAGGAGTAGTTTTCATTCAACTAGATAACTGAATCAGCACCAGTTGATGTAAACAGAAAATAATATATGTACATTTTTTTAATCAAAGTAAGACAAAAATCCCCTTTGGAAGGAAATGAATTGTTTGATGTTTGCAAACATCTTAGTTTTCCTTTTCATCCTACCAATGCTAAGAAATTAGTATTTAGATTTCTTTTTAGGATGTCTCTAATACAGGTCACCTCCATATTCTCTTTTGAGTGCCAGGCAGATTTCTTCTTGACTGTCTGCTGAAAAAGTGTGAGGTCCACCACTAACAACCCCATCTGTGTAACCTACACGCAGCGGGGAAATGGTAGGCTCATGATAATAAATAAGAATAATGAACATTTATTAACTCACTGTGTGCCATATGCTTTACATTAATTTCATTTTAGTTCTGAGAAATAACAGGTGATAACAGTAACCCACTAACTATGATAATGTAGAATGATCAGGAAGTTTAAGTAAATATTTTAATGTGAAATCTGTAACGCACATTTATGATCTTACAGCCTTTTTTCCTATTTTTCCTTTTACTTCCCTGGAATTCACAAGTATCATTTTAGCTACAAACAGCTAATTCAATCCAATAAGCACTTAACAATCTATTCTGGTCGGCACTGTGTTTGGGACTATACGGGGGACCCATGGATGAATGAGAGAGGCACTACATCCCATGCTGATAATACTTGTTGCTGGCAATAACGTCGATTTCATGAATTATTCTCTTAGTTCAGGCAGCATAGAAAAGCTTCTAGTTGTGTTTATAAAATGTCCTTTATCTATAGCACTGATGCAACCCTACAAAGGGACCCATGACATCTTCCCCATCTTGAACCTGCACTGCAGCAAGGGTGACTCTCAGATTGTGAAGCTCCTGAGTGACTCCATCGAAGCCTACAGTACCTGACCACTAGGTTTGTCTAACATTCTAACCCTGGATACAAGGCATTTGACTAACTCCTTAAATATTATGAATTCCCTTTCCATTTCACCGCTCTAATGAGATCCACCACCTCTACTAACAAACAGCTATTTCTTAAGGAAAAGGTAATCTGTGGATAATAATGCATGGTTGTAGGATCTGAGAGGTAAAATGTGTGTGTGAGATTGATACGGAACAGAGGTCTTCACAATTGTCGGAGGCCACATGAGAGCATGAAACAAGCATGTGGATTCTGGAGGGAGGAGGACTTAACCAGTTCTATCTAATCCTAACGCAGGCACATGCTACATGTGTGGCAAGTTATTCGATGTCTCTGAGTCTCAGTATTTTTATCTGCAAAATGAGGCTAATAATATCTACCCTGAATAGTAGATATAAAGATGAGAAATAACGTTAGTAAAAACCCAGCAGAGAGGATACAACAGGTGCTTAATAAATAGTAACTGCTTATTATCATCCCTCATTGCATCGCACATTGGCCAATGTAGCATTTTAACTCTGAGAGCATTCACTTGGTCTGTGATAAACTAGCCGACCAGTTCAAGTATGAGTTCAATTACCACAAGCATATGCAGAGATCTAAATAAATAAAATTGTGTAGACATTTTCCACAAACTCCTTTCCATACAGCTGTCTTCCAAATAAAAACTATAAGACTCTGGATTAGTTAAGAGGGCAAAAATTGCCTTTATCACATTTATGGCTTTAGTCTAGAAAATAATAATAGTGATAATGACCTTGAACTTTGTGGAACTTCCCTAACTAATGCATAAGTATATCACTACCATGGAATGGATATTTTTTGGTATCACTGAAATAAAAAAGATTGAATTTAAAAAGACAAATTTCAGAGGTCTGCTCATTATAAAGTGCCTATGATTGTCATGTAAGTCTAGAACAGATAAGGGTCATTCGTATTAAACATAAGGCAGAATTATTAAACAAAACGTCTCAATGATTAGTGTCTTACTGAACTACTGCCTCATTTGACCAAAATGCTAGCTTGCACAGTGCAAATCCAACTGCTTTTAGCTAAAGATCAATTTTAGAATACTACATGCCAGTCCCCAGCAACTGTTCATTTAAAGGCTTGAATCTAGATGCACAATCATATATACATTCATTTTTTTCTATAATTATTGTACCTAGATGTTTTTTAATAATTATTGGGAATAAACACACTTAAATAACACAGAGAGCACAGTGAAAGTGACCACTGATCACCTGACTGTAAGAATCACCGGGGCTTGGTAAAGGGTTATCTGTTTTCAAGGTAAGAGCAGTCCGACGATTAGCCTTCACTTCCGGCAGCTGATCTGCAGTTCAGGATCTGCTTTCAGTGCTTTCACTGATTAAGTGCCAAAGCATCTTTTTCATGATCAGCAGAAATGACTGGCATTTAATTAAAGTATGCTCTTCTAACTATAAATAACTGAATAAATAGTTTTAAACATATGGCTAACACTCTTGAATCAGGAGCTAACTAACGTAGGAAGTAGAACTATCAAAACACTTTTGAGAACACAGTTCTGCTTGGAGGGTTCCATGGAGGAAGTGCCTCGTTTTCAAGAAAGGAGTGGCGTTTCTTTCCTTTCCGTTCAATTCTTTCCTGCCTTTCTTTCTTTTCCTAAAGAGAAGATAAAAAACTATAAATTTATATGCATGTTTAAATAGAACAAAATAATCCACTGTAAGAGATTTAAATGTCATTTCCTAGTTTACTTGGTTATAAAGGACTAGCAGCTAGGGAATGCTGCTACAGTATCGGTAAACTATCAGTAAGTATTAATGTACCACTTAGTTTTTTAAATATGAAGTGATATTTAAAAGAATTATATAAAACAGAGAAAAAGACCTGTAATTCCATAACTCAAAGACAATAATTCTAAGTTAGTGATTGTTTTCTGAGAACAGGTTCAGAAGGGTGCAATGGTTGAGCAGGCCACGGCAGCGAGGAATAGTTCAGACTTTTTACAGACGTTTGGACACTGAGACTCATGTTTCTTTGCTTATTATGGAGGTTGAGCACACCTTTATTTTTTTAGCCCTTTTGTGAACTTTTTCTCAGTCATTTGGCTCATCTAACCATATGGTTATCAATGCTTTTTAGTCCTTGATTTTTACCAAAAATAGGATATTTCAGCCAGAGACAACAGTTTAAATAGTAACATAAACAAAACGTGTGTACCCACCATGCATGCCCTAAGAAAGAAAACACGATCACGCCCTCATCACACCTTCCTTCCTCCCCACCCCAACGAGGTAACCACCACTCCAAACTGGAGGCTCACCAGCACATCTCTTAATACTTTTGTTATATATGTATTTATCCCAGAACAACACAATTTTGTTTTGCAGGTTTTAGAATTTATAGTAAAAAGATATTGTGTGATATTTTCTATTGCAACTTACTTTTCCCAATTCATTATATTTCTAAGATTCATCTATGTGGAGTTACAACTTTAGTTCCCTGATGTATACAATTCCAGCATATCAACAAAACACAATTTATTAATCGATTTTTTTGTTGAAGTCGTGTTTTCATTTTCCTCACACAGACAGTGATGCTATAAACATCCCTGTTTATTCCTTGGGCTTATAAGCCAAGGTTTTCTCTTCATTTGTATGTACAGGAGTGAACTTGCTCATCTGTGGAGTAAGAATGTCCAACTCTGCTGCAAAATTTATTCTCTGAAGTAGCTGTAGGAATTCACTCTCCAACAGCACCTATCCTGACTTTTTATTTTGATATATGAATTATTATAAATTTAATAGGTTTTATTGTTATTTCTTATAGCACTTTTAATTTTTTAAAAAGCATCTCATTATTATGTGATTTAATAGATATTACCTTTTATTTTCTTTTGGTTCTGTTGTTTGGTATTTTATATTTAACACCCTAATTGTTCTGGAGTTTCTATTGCTGTGATTCTGTTAAGTGATTTATGTGCAAATGTCACACAAATAATCCCAATTGTTATTTCCTTGCACCCATTAATTGGTGTTACTTTGTTATACCGATAGCACATCCTTACTTGGGGTAGGTTCTAAGGTGTCCTGTGGTACCACAGTGCTTCAATTTGCGTTTATTCACTGAACTGTTAAGCACTGAGATCCTACTCGGGGTCATTCAGTACACTGGGTACCACGTGTAAAATCCAAACACACAAATAGGATCCCTTTCCCTCAGGCAACTTGTGAAATAGTTAATACACAAATAACAGGCAATCCAAATTATGTGCATTTTTATAAAATACATAAACAAACTGTTGTGCCTGCTAAAGAAGAAAAGGGAGTACTTTCAAAGACAAATGGGTTCAGGAAAAGTCATCTTAAAGTGAGACAGGATGGAGAGAAGCCTCTCCCGATAAGCACTGAGGAGAGTGCACTTCCCGCAGAGAGAATAAGTGTGGGGGCTCTGACAGTGGGGAAAACCTGGGATGTGGGTGTAAACAAGAGACCTGGTGTGAATAAAAACTGGTAAAAAAAATGGGAGAGGGCTACCAGATGAGAATAAAAGGCAGACGAGTAAGATTATGAGGCCTTGTAGGCCATGGTAACGGGTGGGGGAAAAAAGAGAGAAGTCAACAAGTGCCACTGAGAAGGCAGGCAGAGAAGTGGGAGAAATGAGGGGAACAGGCCGGCCAGAGAGACATGGCGAGAAGGGGAAATTGGCTCTGCAGACCGCTAAGGAAGCTAGGAAATGCGGCAGGAAAGAGCCCATTTCGCCGGCCAGGTGGCCAGACAAAACTGCCACTTTGGAAGCATGGTTTCAGTGTAGGGCTGAGAAAGGGCCCACACTGGTGTGTTGGGGTGGGAGGGATACAGAGAACCAAGAAGGTATGAACAAAACGTCTTAGAGGTTTAACTATAAAAAGAGCAGTGAAATGTGGAAGCATACCTGGAGAGAAGTGAGGGAATTTAAGAATTTTTATCCTGGAATATGATGGGAATTATCCAGGAGAGAGACAGGCTGGTTCAAAGGAGAGTGGAATGATAAATAAATTAAATTAAAAAAATAATTAAATAAAGTTTTATTTTATCTCTTGATAAAAATGGTCCTGCCTTATCTTACTTTTAAAATATTGTCTTCCATATTCTCACTTTATTTTATCAGATGAATTTTAGAACCATTTTGTTTTCCTGCACATAATCTTTTCAAAGAAATGACTATCTGACCATGAAAATGAAATCTAAACATTAATCTAGGAATACTTGAAATTTTAATAGCATTTGGTCTTTTTATCCTGAAGCTCAGGGGGAGAATTTTTTTCTTTTTTTCAAAAGATTTTATTAATTTATTTTTAGAGAGAAAGGAAGGGAGGGAGAAAGGGAAACATCGGTGTGTGGTTGCCTCTCATGTACCCCTCACTGGGGGGGACCTGGCCCTCAACCCACCCATGTGCCCTGACTGGGAATCAGACCAACACTCAATCCACGGAGCCACACCAGCTAGGGCCAGAGGGAGAACTTTTCCAAGCCTCTAATAACACCGTACAAAGTTTCATGCTTTCTCATATTGGTAAGTTCCTCAGAGGGTAGCAGTATCAGGGAACCTTGGACAACCCTGCCTCTGCAGGCTGGGTGGCTCGGCAAATTATTAGGTATTTATACTTCTTTTATCAATATACATATAGGACGCATAAATGTCACAGGTGAGTGTGATCATGCAAGGTTTCCATCACCATACAATTATTCACACACGACAGGGGAGTCAAGACAGGTGCACTTTTATTTTAATGTCCCACTGTCTTGTTCACATCATGCAAATGTTTGCATGCTTGCTACTCTAGTAAAGCAAAGACCTGTTTATAATTATAAAGCATTATAATTCAAGAAAAAAAATTTAAAAAGCCACGATTGGGTCACTGTTGATCATTTTCATATGTCAGAGAGAGGGAGACTCTCTAGCTAGGTGGGGGGAAAAGTGCCCAGCCTGTACCCACAGAAACTGGCCGAATAAACAAACCCCTCTTTCTCCATTCCATCTGACACAGGGAGAGAGGAAAGTGAAACACGTGTGATCTTACCAGTAAGTGCTAAACAGTCAGAATAGGAAGTAAGCAATTATCAACCTCTGCACCAATTAATATGGATCGACAATGTCATCTTGAGTAATAATTTTAAAAATCTTGTCGGAAAGTCCTTCTGACTGTTGTCTGTTGAAAACTGAACCTTTTACTTATTTTCTTACTAAAGGTAACTAACTAGGAATTAATCTTGAAACCAGCATGAAGAAGAGAGTCTTACCTCATCTTTGGCGTCAGCTTCCTGCCCACCAAAAAAATTACCCATGAAATGCTCACTACCCAAGCTAGGCTGTAGATCAAAATTTTGAGATGTTACATGAAAACTGAAGTTACTAGAATTCCATATAGGGGCATTTTTCTATTCTATCTTAAAACAAATTTCAGTAAGAAATTGGTAAGATGGAGTGTAGATCTGTAAGATGTTGCATACGGATGATTTTATAGGTAGCACTACATTTGTACGGGTTGTATTACATTTCAAAACAAATTATTTTGTATTAGGTCTTTGATGGGTGGATTTTTGTTCTCTAGAGGACTGATCAGATACAAAAGTGACAAAACACTAAAATACATAATGTACCTAACTGTGGCTTAGTTATTAAGGAAATTTTATTTCATTTTTAAGAGTCTGTGAAAATAAAAGTAAAAACATTTACATTTAATTACTCTAAAGGATACTAGCAGTCCGTCAGTACAAGTCTCCTTAATACAAGAAGACTTTTAATTTTTCTTAGAACAAAGCATTTTTTAAGAGTTTAATCAAAAGAAATAACAAAACACTACCTTCTTCACTTGCAACACTGAAACCTTATTTTATTATTTTTCTGCCTGGCACTAAAGTCAACACATAAACAACGATACACTCCATTGGTATTTTTATTAGGATTGCATTAATCAACATCTTTAAAGCATTATTATAACATTGAGTGTTCCTATTTTGTGGCAGTTTTGATCCATTTTCTCCAGTCTTTATTTGTGTCCTTCAAGAACACTCTAAAATGTTCTTCGTATTAGTCTTGAGCATTTCTTCCGTTTATTTCTAAGTGTTTCACCTTTTTATTCTACCTTCAGATAGCCTGCTTTGGATCCTGCATGCCTCTCTAACTAATGTTGCTTCTGAAGTTTCTGTGAAAACCTAACAATAAGAGTCAGAAAACTTTGAGAGGAGAGCTATGAAGGAAGATTAATGCAAACAAATATTAAAATATACAAAGGCCAGAAAATGACACTGTGGTACTAGAATGTATCTGGTAAGAGTGACCAGTGAAACAAAAAGTCAAGAAACAGACCCAAACCATCTGGGGATGTATCATGTAATTAAGGCACTACCTGAAATCAGTAACAGGCTTTTTTTTTTTTTAATAAAAGATGCATTTAGGAAAAGTAAAGTTGGGATGTTTCCCACCACACATCAGGATAATTTTCAAGTAGATCAAATGTTAAAATGTTAAGATATTAAAATCATAAAGTTATTATAATTAAAATAGGAGCACTTGTTTAATCTCAAGTTATGGGCAAGGTCTTTGCGGCTATGCCTGAAATTCAAAACCCAAAAGACTGATACATTTGACACCAGCAAATAAAATAAAAATTTTCATGGCCTAAAAACTATATGCAAAGTTGAAAGACCAACAAAACAATGGGAAGAATATTTGAAACTCATATGAAAATAATAGACTAATTTTCCTAGTGCATAAAAAAACTTCTAGAAACCAGTACGTAAAAGACAAATAGAAAAAGGTGGAAAGTCTATGACTTTACAGTTCATAGAAAAATAGAGATGATCTTTATAAAAAAGGAGGATGCTTGACCTCAATCCTGACCAGAGAAACGAAACTACAAAATACCCTGGATGGTATCTGTTAACCAGCTGATTAGCATGACTTCAGAAAAAGGTTGGCAAGAAACCACTATGGAAAGAAGCCCTAACTGAATCCTAACCCTGCGGAGAAATCTTACACTTTTTGAAACAACTGATGAGTTAACCACTCATACCAATGTGTTAGCTACTCATGTAAAGTACCCATTCATATGAATGTATTACTTATTCAAGAATTAATTAAAAATGCCCATTGATATTGATATTTTAAAATGGAAAACATTATTTGTTGACATTAATGAGAAGTAACTACAAACATAAGTACACTGAAACTAACAAAAACATCAAATATATGTATGTGTGCAAATATATGTATATATATTTGTATGTCTGTGTATATATGAAGCCCGGCTAGATATTTCCCTCCAAAAATGTATTTGCTCTCTTTTATTAAAAGACACCTAAATAAGATCTTTTCTTTGAGGTCATCAGAACAATCAAAAGAGAATGAAAAAACGGAATGATGTTCTTGCCACTAAGCTCAGTGTGCGTGTGTGTCATGACTGGGTCCCACCTGCAAGGATCTGGCAGACCTTCAGTGGCTTACTCGTCAGCACTCTCTGATTTCAGATATGAAAACCATTGCAAAGGAAGAAGGGGCGGGACTGGCTAAGTGGCTACTTATGGGAATGTGGGTAAAGAAGAATGTTATGACTGAAGTTTTAAGCCTGACTGCTTTAGGGAGTAAATCAAAGAAATATTATATATGTAGGAGGAAAGAATGAATTCAACAGGGCAGTTTCTAGATGGAGATGGCCAGTAGGCAGGAACAAAAAGAACTGAAATTAAGAACAGAAAAGTCACACAAAATAAGTACATTTAAAATGATATAAATACATTAGCAAAAACACCTACCAGCCATTTTTCATATTCATCAATGGCTTGTCTATCTTTATCTTTTTTCTCAGTTCTTTTCAGTTCTTCTTTTCTTTTCTCACTTATTTTCTCTTTTCTCTTCTCTTTGAAAAAAGCTTCTTTTTTTTCACTCCTATGTAGGATAGCATAAAACACTGAAAAGTTAAAGGAGAACATATAATAAAGATTTCCTAATATATCTTTGCAATAATGACAATGAGATAGATGCATTAGTAAATTTCAAATGGATACATTTTAGAAGTCCTAGGGGGTTATCGATTTCAAATCTATCAAAATATCTACTACTCTGGATTACCATTTTTCCACCGCAGTTAGGTTGTCTTTCCTTTTCTCAGCAACACTTTCCTCCTCCTTCTGCTTCTTTGCTCTCTCATATTCTTTCTCCTTTTTATTTTTCTCTTTAAGATATTCCATCTTTTTTTCCTTCCATCTTTCAAAAGCCTGAAAAAGTTCAGATTTTCTGATTTATAGCGAATATTGTAAAATCAGTAAAAACTCAATCACTAATTTATATTTGCATATATTTAAAAATAATTAAGAAAGCCATTCAAAGTTGTTGAGTACTTGTTGTGCTTCTTCTTTTCTTGCGGCATTTTCTTCTTCAGTTTTCTTCTTGTTTTTTTCCTCAAGCCTTTTTTTCGCAGCTATTTTCTTAGCTTCCTTTTCTTTCATAGCCTTCCAGGCCTCAAATGATGCTAAGGCTTCTTCTCTCTTAGCAGCTCTTTTCTATTTTGGAGATATAGTAGACAGTTACATATGTATATACAAATAGCCAGACAAATATAGATATAACACATATATATTTACCTTTAATTCCCTTGATGTGTACCATATGTACAAATTGTATTTCAAAGAAGATACTTAGAATGGTTTATATAAATTTATGAAAAAACATATTCTGAATTTTTCATTACATTTTAACATGTCCTTTATGAAAATGCATTTTATTAGCTATTTATCTACTACTACTCATGGGAAAGAAGTTGACTGATTTTTTGGAAGTGTACTGTACAAATGTTATCAAAATAAACTGTAATAGGCTCAGTGGTACTATAAAATGTCAGTAAAATATTTTAAGTAAAAAAATAATCTGCAAAGTACTAGGCTTAAATAAAGTCTGAGTAAGGGAATTTGGCCACGACAAACAGTAAGCTGCAGATCTTTGTGTAGAATAGAGTTTTGAGGGACATCAAAGCATAAAATTCTTACTACGTCAACATATCACAATTGTTGAATAGGTGTGGCAGACTGGAAAATATGCAGGTGAGAGTATAGCAAGTATGTTATTGCTTTCCTCACTTCAATCTAATCCCATCATGTCCTCTAACACTCAATGAGATAAATAAAGCCTTATTATGGAGGTAACATAATTCAGACATAGCAGGACCACCTACCTCACTGAGCTGTGAAGATCAAATGAGATGTGTCTGGCACTGACCGCAGCAGTAAGATGCTGCAGACGTGGCGACAGGTGAGCAGGCAGGCCCCGCAGGGCTGCTCTGCACAGCGCTGTGCATTCGGGTGACAGGTTTCTTTCTACATCCAATTTAGTGTTAGACAGCATCATGAAGTGGTTTGGTTTTGGGTTTTTCCCAGGGCTTTTATTTTGAAAGATGAGAAAGACCCAAGCATATTGTAGGCTACCAAGTAGGACTTAGAGATAGAGATTGAAGCACCAGAAAAAATTAAACAAGAGTTCAGTTCTAGTCAATGGGAAAAATATGAGCCAGGACCTTGGGTAGGGGCTGATCTTAAAGACACATATAAAATCCAAGTTAAAAAGAGGAAAACTGAATGTTAAGGCTGCTGACCCTTTATATTCTTAGGGAAGTTGTATGAATGAGATCAGTTTTTTACACTGAGATAGGTGGTCACAAGCAATAATAATTTTATAATCAGTATTGCCAATGCTATTACACACATAAAAAATAAAAATCAGTGTGTCTATATTTTTATGTAAAACAGTTATAACATAAAACTAAAAATGTATAAAGTTCCTCAGAAAAACAAAACCAGAAATCAACTTTTATATATAAGTTATTTTTCCATTTAAAAAATACTTGATTTAGAAATGTTAAATATTCAGAGATATTTTACTAACTTAAAAATCCAGAATATTTTTACTACTTTATTTCAGAATACCTGTTCATTTTGGATCCTTAAGTTTTCACTTTCAATCCTTTTAATTCTGTGCTTTTCATGTATAGATGCATTTTTCTTTTCTAACCACTCCTATGAGAATAAGAATAAAACTATGATATTCAAAGTTTTTCAAATAAACTTGAATTTTTATCTATTTCTGAAATATTAAAGAATTTACATGCAAAACAAAAACATTTATAAATTCTATATAAACTAGTATCATTTTTCTGATAATATTCTAATATATAATGATCATGAATTAATTGTTATTTTTCTTAGTATAAACAACAGGCATCAAAGATTGGATTTAATGGCCACATATCAATCAATACTTTGCTCTGAAATTCACAGACTATTTTTTAAAATATATTATTCTGTATAACTAAAATATAATTGCAAAAATATTCAGAAAGTTTGTTCTCTGTATAAGCCTAATTCAAACTCTCTGGAATAAAAACAAAACTCTTGTTCCTAACAATATAAACTTTAAGAGAAAAAATATAAAAAACATATACAGACATTAATATTTTTGCTTTTGCTTTATTTTTATAAATTAGCATAGTGTCTTTCTTTCTTTAAAAACTACAGTGACCGGTTAAACAAAGTTTGGAAGGAAGTAATTTAGTAAAAAAAAAAAGTTTTGAATTGTTCAGGTATTATAAAGAAAAATCTTTGCCCATAAATTAAGTATTAAATCATCATTTCTGACAGGGTCATTTTATTTCTTGGGAAATAGTATGCTTATGTAAGTAATTAGGTCTTACAATTAATTTATTTTTCACTTTTCTACCTGATACACAGCTGCCCGTATGTTATCAGCTCTGTCGGGTTCCATGTTCTGTTTCTGTGAGGGCCTTTGGTCCAAAATTTTCAAAGTGCCTAAGTACTGAGAAGAGGTAGTTTTTGATGGAGTCCTCCTTATAGAAGTAGAATTCTTTAAATACTCAGAGGTCATTAATCTGAAAAGATCCAAATACATCAAGATATAATACTACAGCTGCACTTGGTATAAAAAGATTTGTTAGAGTACTATATTTAAAAACTATAACTTAATAAATTATAATTACTTTGAAAATGAAGTATAATCTTTTCTTATTATACAAAGAGACCCATTCGACATAATTTGAATTTCGTAACTTCCAGTTATGGGACTTCAAAGTGATTGCTCTTTTAGGCATTGTAATCATTAGAATATTTTAAAGAAACATGCATTATATCTCAAGTTACATGGAAAAAAACCAATATTAATAAAGTAGGTTTTAGCCTTGGCTGGTGTAGCTCAGTGGAATAAAGTAGGTTTTAATAGTTTCTTCTATTACTTTGTTACATAAACCATCCTAAATAATAGCGTTAGAATACTATCCTCTATTTCAGGGGGTGGTGGGAAATCTGACGCACCGTCTGTTTTAGTGAATGAAGTTTACTGCGTCACAGCTGTATTCATTCATTTCCATACTGTCTGTGGCTGCTTCCCTGCTGTGAGAGCAAAACTGAGTGGTTGGAACTGAGACCTGATGGCCCATGAAGTCTAGACATGAGCTCACTGGCACCTTAGAGACAGCTTGCTGACCCCTGTTCTAGCTGGTTAATGATCATTTGATTAAATAATTTAAAAGATTCCAAAGGTTTTGATTAGCATGTATGAGGTAGTATTTTATTATTATCATCCTCATCATCATCAGTGTTAATGAAGCCAGATAGGTTCTTATCATTTTAATAAAACAACTTAGTCCACAGAACCTCAAGGCTTTGAGTATAATTTTTCATGTGTTAGTAAAAGACACTTGACAGAGAAGTGTCGTGCTGGACCTGAGCTCTGTTACCACTTTGTATCTCCTGTCTCTAAAAAACAGAAGAAAGAAACTATCTAGAAGCAATGCAGAGTATGGAGAATCCTTTTTATAAAAGAATAATTCCTTTCTATAAAAGAATATAACCAACTAAGGAGTTTTATCATGAAGAAACTAATCCATTTCATGAGATGGAAATAAGAGAAAATCAAGTAACACCAAATGCAATTTAGTTTACAGAAGTTCAATTAAAATTAGCTTTGTGGAATGTAACCCATAAGTAAGTAACAATGATGGCTTTATTACCTGCCTGAGGCACTGGATGCTCGGTTACTTGTTGACTTTTTATTCTTCATATTTATATCTTCAATTGTTTTCTATTACATAGAAAAAGCCATAGATGGATTAGTCACCATAATTATCATAGAATGGCCATCACTGAGATCGAACTGTAAATGGTAAATCAATGCTTTTTAAACCTCTACTGGGAGTCAAGTACAGAGTGGAAACAAAGGATGTTACACTTTAGGGGAGGGGGCGCTGACTGACAATAAAAAAATGAACAAATGTGACTCATGAAAGAGCGGAGTGACAGACCGACTGGAGTGGAGGTGAGGGAGGTCCTCACCTCCTTCCTGTCAGAGCTAAGAAAAATAATGAGTAGAAAGGAGCCATAGGAATGTCCCTGGAAAGAAAGACACAGTAGGCACTGAGAGCCTGAGAGGGGAAAGAGCTGGATAATTCGGAGAGAGAAAAGGGTGCGTCCTACTGAAGCGCAGTGAACAGCAAGGAGACCGGGGGTCTCTGTGGTCAGGCAAGAATCCTCTGAAATATTTAGGAAGCGGTAAGTTTACATTTATTCTCATTATGGGAATCTAACCAAGAGAATTTAGCAGAGGAATGAGTTGATTCGACTTAAGAAAGCTCACTCAATAGTAAGAATAAAGCCAAGGATGGATTCAGTCAGAAGAAATATGTTATGATCATACCTGACATATGTAAATGGCCTGTTCCCATTTACAATGACCTATTAGACATTTCTGAGATCCTGTCTATAAATTCCCAAATACCCTTCTTCCTTTTAAGGAATAACCTATCTGTCTATGAAGAGAGATAGGGGCTAGCATTAAAGATGTAAACATATCCGTAATTTGATATTAGTTGTTTTTCCCAAAGAAAGTGGTTAAGAACAATATATCTTAAACAAGGCTTAATGAACTCTCTCTATACACTTTAATAAAAAGTTAGTATTCTGTAGTGTAATAAATTCCATTTCAACCACAAGTTTTCAGCTAGCACTATTATCTTTCTTGATAACAAATACACATAGTCAGCAGCTAACTGCAGCTAGAAGAGATAAAGACTAAATTCAGGAGAAATGAAGACTAAATATGCCATACCAAAAATTGGTTTAAAAGTCTAGTACTCTGGTACAGTACAGCACAAGTAATCCTATACACTCATCTGGTTCTCAAGGTTATAATAAAAATATTTCTGAGCATGACCCTGTCTATCCATTTTAACAACCATGAATGTGGAAAAACCTTTCTTCTTAAAGATTTTCATTAGAATTTGTGAAATGTTTAAAAACGACATCCAAAGAAATAACTTTCACTAATTAAAACCTTGGAAATTGTTCCGGATGTCACTTTTAAATGAAGACCTATGGAAACTTAGCCAGTTATAGTTATGTATTTCTGAGATATTTAAAAATACATTCTGATCATATACTTCTGATAATTTTTAAAAATATTTTATTTTATTTTTAGAGAGGAGAAGGCAGGGAGAAAGAGAGAGACAGACATCAATGCGTGGTTGCCTCTCGTGGGCCCCCTACTGGGGACCTGGCCCACAACCCAGGCATGTGTCCTGACTGGGAACGAAACTGGCAAGCACTTGGTTTGCAGGCCAGCACTCAACCCACTGAACCATACCAGCCAGGAATACTTCTGATAATTTTTAATATGACAATACATTTTATTACATTCATTGCACCCTTCCCTGAAATTAAAACTCTATTGAAGTAAATAAGAACCACTGGACCTGACTGGTTGGCTCAGTGGATTGAGTGCTGGCATGCAAACCAAAGGATTGCTGGTTTGATTCCCAGTCAGGGCACAAGCCTGGGTTGCAGGCCAGGTCCCCATGTGGGGCATGCAGGAGGCGATCACACACTGATGTTTCTCTCCCTCTCTTTCTCTTTCCCTTCCCCTCTCTAAAAATAAATTAATTAAATCTTTTAAAAAATAATAAAAAATAAAATCTTAAAAAAAACACTTGACATTACAACTACTAAAAGATGATTTTTGCACAGATAATCCAGAGGTACCAAACATGGAAGATAAAATATTTAAAAGCTGTATTTTGAGTTTTAAGCTATAGTATAAAGGGTATAATTTATATAAATACCTTTGCAGACTCAGTTGCACTGGTAGACCTTAAGTTACGTTCAGATAGTTGTAGATCATCAATTGTTAAGTCATCATTCATAATCAGTCCAGCTTTCTCCTTTTCTTCTTCAAGGTCACCAGCAGTCACTTCCCCTTCTGTGGATTTCTCAAGTGCAGTGGTAACAAAGTCTATCAGAAATGAATTCTCTTCATTTTCAGCTGATGCCAGGGATCGGTGGTTTTCAGTGAATTCTTCATTCTGATCTAGTTTGAGACAGAGTAACAGCACTAAAACTCCACTGCAGATTAATTAGGTGGATAAGAGATTCATTTGCTTTTCACTACATGTCATTAATCCCTTTTTCTTGCAAGATAAAATATGAAGAAAACTGTCATATTCAACTTCAATAAGCTTTTTTCCCCAAAGTGATCTACAAAAGAGAAAATGGTTATTCCATCTCCTAAAAGATCTGAGATACTTAACACTTAGAAAAAACACATTAGTAAAGAAAATGGAATAACTACCCTAAACTAAAGACACACCAAAAGTGCTTGTTGATGCATAAACCAAGTAAGTAGGAGGGTAATATTTATTCTCTTGAGAAGCCTGTTCCTTAGCTGGTACAAGAGGCTGTGTAAGTAGGAGGCACACATCTCTCTGCTACTACAGTTACTAGCAACATAGATGTAAAACTGTATAGACACAGGGAGAACCAAGAATCCGTGTAGCTCTAGTTGAGTCCATGACAGAGAATACGGCTCCCCTCTAACGTGTTTTATTCCCATGGCCATGAAGTCCTGCCTCTGCCAGGGAAGGGGCACTCAGGGCGGCCTGCTCTTCATCCTCCCAGTGATCCCAGGGGCAGGCTCCGGTTCTGGCAGGAGAGAATTCTCTCTTATTCTAATTCTACCACACTCTGGAATTCTCAACAGAAAGAAATCGGTGCTTTCTGTGTTGAATGGCAACTTTAATTTCCACTGGGACCCACCTCTGGCCAAACCTATATCTTACCGTCAAAAATCTTAATTCCACTGCTTTCCTTCAGCCATTTTTTGGACTCACTTTGACGTATGCTTGACTTAAAATCACTTTATAATTACAGTTACACATTCACATTTGGAAAGCACTTAGGACTCAATGTATCATTAATGGATTCTGTGCATGAGCTGGTCAATGTACTCAGTGAAAAGAACAAGGACTTAGAGCCAGAGTCAAATTAGGATTCTGCTGCTGACCTTGGGTATGTTTCCCAATATCCTTGTACTTCAGTTTTTCTCATCAACAAAAAGACAAAAATTATACTACATAGTAAGCACTTAATAAATATTGATTACACATCCCAGTTCTGGAAACATCTATGCCTTTACCTCTCATTAAGCTACATGTCATAGAACTAAGGAAAGGAAAAATGTTAGCAACTCATAGTCCTGCTTAGTACATGTTTACTAGGTACTGGTCTAAGTGCTTTACTCATGATGAACCCACTGAACTAGTCCACTATCCTATGAGATAAGTGACCTGTATTGTCCTCATTTTAAAGATCAATATACAGAAGGAGAGTGGTCAGCTACGTTGTTCGTGCAGTTGTGTCTGGATTCCAGTCCAGCTTAGTCTCACTGTAACAACCACCTACCCATCACACTGTACTGTAGATTACAGCAGGAAAACCTAACAGCACACGCTGACAGATCATTCTGCTGGGCCAAGAGCTGGGCTACTGACTAAAAGGCATAGCATCACTTAACTTTCACAATACCTTTGACTCTGGTTTCATTATAAGTCGAGAAGTTTGAGGCCCTGAGAAATTAAGTTCTACATCTCAAATCCCATGGTTAGTAAATAGCAGAGTTGGTGCTAAAACTCAGGCAAACATAAGCATGTATTGTTCCTGTAACTACATAAAGTAGGGGGTGGGCAAAAGTAGGTTTCCAGTTGTGAGTATGCAAAATAGAGCTTGTTCTTGCAGTATCCATTGTTTTATCATTTATCTGTATTATAAGTCTAAAATCAGTTGTACCCACCATGTATTATTTATTTTACAAATAGAATTTATAAAATTCTAAGCAATAAAGCTCACAAACAAGTTATAATAATTTGATACAACCACCTTTTATAGATGTTTTTTCCTCAGATCCTGGTGAAAAGGAATCTCCAAGACTTTCTTTGAGGGACGATGATGATAAACTTGTTAACCATGGATCCTGCTTAAAATAAAAAAAAAGGATTATGTAAGTTAGTGCCCAAGATTTGTGGAAGACAATATCATTATTAAAACTATTTCATAACTGAAATTTGTGATATTAGGAGTTGGCTGCTGAAACAACAAAAGCTTGTGAACTCATAGAGACTAATGCACTCCCCTTTCCAGCCCTGATGTTTTGCTCATGAAATGAAGTCACTGCAGAGCTATTCTAGTTCTTCAGCTGACACCTGCACATTTGTTTTTAACAATCTGTAAAACTTCCGCTGACTGAACTACTCTAAAATGAAACCTCATAAATTGTTAAGGTGAAGATTTCATCTCTTTCTCTAATTCTCCTTTCTAAGACAGTAAATTAAAATCCTGTTTCAAACACATATTACTAGGTTTCCAAATGAAAGCAATGATAAAACCAAGTACACGGCTACTTAACAAATATTTGGGACTGAAAAAGTACATTTCATGCACTTCAGTTTTCCTCAAAATTCTAAAAATTACAACTAAAGTGGAAATCATAGTTGGATGCCTAAATTAAACAGTTCTTTATAGAATGGGAATCCAACCCAAAGGTGATGATGTGATAATGTCATCAAAATCAAACTTACTTTGATTTTGTTGCAAAGAACATTTTATGTGAAAAACAACAGACAGAAACCATGTAGGAAGATGGCAGAAGGGCTGAAACGCTGGAGCCTAACTTGAGAAACGAAGTTTTGCCTGAGGACATTTGCAACTTGGAAGCTTTGAGCCCGAGGGCATTCTCCTCGCCTGCAGCAGCCGAAGGCTTCTGGGACTAGCCTGAGAAGGGGGGCAGGTGTCAAAGGACAGAGTTCAGCACTGGGAGATCAGCCAGGATGTTTGGTTCAATACAGAGGGCATAAATCCCAAAATCTGCATAGAAAATTGTGGGGGCAACTTTGTCCTCAAGTCCCCCCGTCTTCCACAGATGAAAATAAATACTACCAAGACACGATCTGCTTGGGGAGGAGAGGTGGCCAGGTTCTCCAAGGAGAAAGGCCAGGGGCCCCTTCCTGCAGGGGCTTTTATTGGGCTGTAATACACAGGAATACAGGTGGCAAGGATCAAACAATAGATAACATTTCAAAGAAACCTGAGGGCCTAGTCTGAGTCAGTGTCTTTCAGGAAAGGGGGTTGCAGAAACTTTGGGAGACATACTCGTTTCCTGCTTGGACCCGTAACATATGAATGAAAGCACTCTTAGCAAAGCAGGTTTCACAGAACTTTTAGAAATTCTTTCTTATGCCAGATTTACCCCAATACCACTCTAGTAAGGCAGAGGACTGCACCACCTCCCCATCACAGGTTTTCAGGCTTAAGTGGGTTAGAGCCAGGAAGCACTTCTCCCAGAGGATGTGGGGACTGGGGCTATGTCAGAATGGCTGGGGGGCAAAAGTCCACTGTTCCCTCTTTGTTGCAGTCCTCCCCCCCGAGTCCTTTCATGAAGGCCTCCCAAGTGATCCCCAGTCTGGTTTAGGTTGCCCCTCACTGTGAGGAGTCTTACCTATCACGGACTATCAACCAAGCTTTGGGGGCAGGGGAGTGAGCTGAGGCAGCGTTTGCTACCAGAGACAAGCTTTGTGTCCTGTGGCTCGCATTCCAGAGGCCACTCACTCATCCTTAGCCATGGGGGTAGTTACAATTCCTGAAACCAGGCAGAGCGGTTCCCAACAAAAATCCACTAAAATTCTTGGGTTATCTATTCACAGTGTGGGAAAGACCTTCTTAGAGGGTCCTGGAAAATCGTATCAGCTAGATTCTCAAAGAACTAAGCAGAGATTTCAGTCCATATTCATCAGTAGCATGATGGATGAGGAAATATATGAAACTATACTATTACTAGGTTTCTATATTAAATTTGACTAATGCAGTATCAACTTTAAATAAATTACAATAATTTATAGATGCAAACTGTAATTCATAAAGCAACTACTAAAAATATAAGGCAAATGGGAATCAAAATGGAAAACTAAAAATATGTGATCAACTTTTTAAAAAAGGCAGTAAAGGTGGTATAGAGGAACAATAACAGCAGTGTCAATTAAAAGGACATAAAACAAATAAAAAACAAACAGCAACAAATTGGCACTATGTATACTTATATTAGAAGTAAATGGGCCGAACACTCATAAATGTCTAATGGACCCATAAATGGACTACCATCAGCAGGTTATCAGACTTGCTAAGAACATGACACCGAAGTATTACTACAAAAGAGCCACTAAAGGACACAAATAGTTTGAAAGAAAATGACAGCAAAAAGATTTACCATGCAAACACTGGTCATAAAAAAGCTGATGCTATCAGACCAAACGGCAAGGTGAGGAGTACTGGAAATGTCTCCTAATGCTAAGTGGGGTCAAGACACAAGTGCATCATATGTCTATTAACAGAGTCATGAAACACTGGCAGGGTGAATGGAAAGGACGGACAAATTTGCAAGCATGACTGGAAATCTGTAAGACGCTTAGATAGTACTTGGCAAATTAACTAGACGACAAGTCAGTGCGGAGAGAGAAGACATGACTGATGCTACCAGCCACCTTGACAAAGTAAAGTTATAGAACTTCATGTCTAACACCTGCAGAATATAGATTTTTTGAAGGAACAAATGGAACTTTCACAAGATACACTGAGAATGGGCCATAAAAATATCTCAACAATTTTTAAAAGTGTCAAATTTTATAAGATGTATTCTCTGATCACAATAAAATTAAATTAGAAATCAATATAAAAGATTTGATTGGATCTAGAGAAGATCCAAATATTTGGAAATAAAATCATTCAGCACAAAATAACCAATTGGTCAGAGATTACAAGGGAAATTAGAAAATATATTTAATGAAATGATAATGAAAATAAAAGGTATCAAAAAACCTGGGTGCTGCTAAAGCTATGCATAGAGAGACTTTTACAGCTTTCAGTAGCTTTATGACAAGGGAGGAACAAATAAAACCCAAGAAAGAAAAAAATAAAGAGTCAAAATCAGTGAAACAAAACAAACTATACAGAAAATTAACAGTCAAAGCTGGTTTTTGAAAAGTTTAATAAAACTGGGCAATGCCTTTCAAGATTTAACCAGAAAGAAATCACAAACTCTATATTAGAAATAAAACATCATGGTAATCCACAAATTTCTTAATGGAAGCTTAGCCAGGCATCATATATTCCTCCTCTCTGATCTGCTGAAGAAGAGGAATGTTCTTCCCATACTTATCCCCTCCAAAATGGGAGGCGCGGGAGTTTGCTAACCACAGTGAGGTGTGAAGAGAGGGGGCCAAGGGTTCTCCCCTAACAGTGATGCGGAGTGAACTCCCTGATAAAATCCTGAAAGATCACACTTCCGTTTTAGGATAGCCCAGAAAATATGGCATGGTGCCATAAACATTCAATAAATAAAACCAAACGAATAAAATGGCACTGGCTATGATGCCCTTAGCCAGTGTGTATGACAAAGAGGCCACATACCAAATCTGACAAGCTCAGGAGAGGCCTGCATGGTGGGCCATATAAACTCAGAGTCTGACAGTAACTACAGACAATGGCCTGAACACAAAAATTCCTAACTGAAGGCAGGTCATGGCCCATAGTCACGTCCTTGGGCTGTGGTTTCCTTAACAAAGGTCAATCTTTACTTTAGGTCAGCCTGTCTTTTGTCTTTTGGCATCTAAGATAACATGCCTCTGAAATGCCAGAGTGATCTCCTCTTCCACATCTTCAGGGCACTCCCACCTCTCCGAGCAAGAGGCCACAGCGCTCCTCTGTTGCTACCGCATTCCCCAACACCATCTCCACGTGCTGTGGGTCATTATTAACTCTCCTGTACCCCCCACTGTAAAAGCAGAGATTTCCCTGCTCTGCTTTCTTCCATCCCCTAACCTACCACCAGTGGATTTCAGGTAACCCCCATACGTCTTCTCCTTTGATTCTAATGCATAAAATAGGCTAAAGCTGCCATTCTCCAGAACACTTTCTCATATGATGAGATTTTGCTTCCCAGCAGTTGTCACAGTTTGGCTCAAATAAACTCGTAAAAATTCTCCATGGGTTTGGACATTTCTTACATTGGTGCCATAAATTATATAATCCAGATGCATAAATAAAAATATAAATCCCTACAATTAAAGGTATACAAAATTGTACAGATTCAAAAGGGCAACATTTTTTTCACATTTTATTTTCTCTGAAATTGAATGCATATTATAATTACTGGTGTGTTATGGCTTAATTGGCAGAGTTCCATTGTCTCTTGGCCCTACACTAGATATTGCCGTATCTTCACTGCATACAACTGATGGAGCTTCAGACTCAATGGAATACAGTATATTAAACAAAACCCTTCAAAACGTTTCCTTATCAACTGCTGAAGAAAACACTAACACATGCACAAAAGTTCTCTCTCTCGCTCACGCTCAGAAGCAAAGGCCCAGATTCAAGAACGTGGTTCAGCAGTTCAGCTGCAACACTAACCTCAGCATCAAGGTTTTCAGAGATCGCTTTTTTCTCATCTTCTGGTTGTCTGTCACTTGGCCCCGGGAGGGACAAAGGCACAGCATGCACCTCTAATTCTTCATGGAGGGCAGTTTCTTTCTCTTCTCCTCTCCCTTCTTTTTCCTCCCTGAGGCTGTGTTTTTTCAACATGGTCCTTGGCCGAGGTAAAGGTGTGAAGTGTTTTTCTGCTTCCTGGCTGCTGCTGGTGTCTGCTGCAAAGAAAAAAAAGAAAGAAAGATATGTTTTAAGGTGGGCGAACAAAAAAAAGATCATGGCTTCAACCACACCCCAAGGTATCTACACAGAGCTCCAGTATCCACGGATGAACAACTTATCATGATTGTAATTTTTTTAAAAGTTGCCATCTTGGAAGTATGTGGTTTACTTTAGTTTTGTGAGAAGTTAAGTCCTCAACTATGAATTCTCACAGCATTAAAAAAATTGTAAAAAGCAAAACAAAACTGTGCCCTATAAACTGAGGGAGCTCATCCATCTAACCTAATTACTGAGTCTCTGCAGCTGGGCCCTGGATGCATGATTCATATTCCTGGACCTCACAAACGACACTGACATCGACACAATCGACAAAGTCCTGTCCAGGGACTTTACAGGTTGGGAAGGGAGCCAATTCTAAAGAAATAAATGACAGGACGAAGTGCCATCACAAGCATGGAGATGATGCTGTGTGGGTACAGGGATGGGACTACCTCTTGCTGGAAGAGGGAATGAAGACCTAGATGGCTGAGTTGTTCTTTGAGTTCATGAAACTTCTCTAGCAGTTATGAAAATAGCTCAGTTCCTATTTCAACTACTTTTAAGTTTAAAACAATCTAATGCTGGTACACTTCTGGCCCTCAAAAGATGATAAAGTTTTTACATAAACCTTTCACCTGAATTTCACCTGTTATACTTTCTCCATTGTTCTACCAATGCATTCTTCTGATAAAATTTCAAAACTGGACTAATGAACACCTCCCTCCTTTCTGCCTATAAATGGGCTTAGGAATGCTGCTAGGAAATTCTGCAACCATACCAGTGGGTACCAATGTAAATGTTACACTGCCTATTTTAGCTATGTCCTAAATGTTCAGTCCAGATTCCAAGGGTCATCCTAGACTCCTCCCTCTGATACCCATATACAAGCATCACTAGACCCTATAATTCTACTTCCTAAATCTCATTTATTTTACTTTCCACATCCCTGCTGTGAGTTCCTCATCCATTTCTTTACTACATTACTGCCTTAATGTTATTCATAAAATGAAAATCAGATCACATCACTTCTCTCCACAAAATTCACTGGCTCTCCATCATAAAGTCCTACAGAATACAAGCTTACTTGCCTTGGAACAATCCAGAAGCTTTCATGGTCTTATCCCTGGCTAACTGCACTGCCTTGTCTACTGGACACCCATTTTGCAATCTGTGTCCCTGACATGTTGGGCAGGTGGCTGTTTTGAATTGATGTCACAACCCTTCCTACGACCACACCTTTCTCAGGCTAAGCCCTCTGCCTAGAATGTCTGCTTCCTGCTCCTGCTTCTTCTCCTGACAAATGCTTGCATGTCTTTTGAGCCTGAGTTAAATCAGAATACTGCATAATGCCTGAAAGAAGCTGTTGGGTCAATTTTTTTATTGTGTAAGAACACTTAACATGAGATCTGCACTCTTCATAAATTTGTATGTGCACAGTACAGTTGTTAACTAAAGGCACGCTGTCGTACAGCAGACCTCTAGAACTCACTCATCTTGTGTAACTGAAACCTTACACCTGTTGAACAGCAACTCCCCGTGTCCACTCCACCAGCCCCACGCAATCACCATTCTACTCCGTGTTTCTGTAAGTTTGACTGTTTTAAATATCTCATATTTAAATCTTGGCTCTGACTCCTTACCATTGCAACTTACCAAAGTCGTCTAGCTTCCACTCCCTTGGCTGTCCATTGCTAAAACTAGTTAGGAATTCATTCCTAAGGGGCCCATGGGACTTAAATGAGATAATAAAGTGTATAGCACAGTGCCTGATACCTGGTAATATTCAATGACCATGAACAATTGTGGTACACATTTCTCCTTTTTCCGTTGGGTTTGTCTAGCACTTCTGCTTCCTTTGGCGTAACCTCTCCTCCTCTGCAGCCTTATGACTCTGGTGGATTAACTATTATCTCCTCGATACCCCAGTGAGAAGGGCGGGGCCACGATGCAATGCACACCATCACCACCCATATGGCTTATCACAGAGGCTTCATCTCCCTCGTCCACAGCAACCGCTGGGCAAGTCAGTGCTTTCTATTTGGCATTGGAACATACGCCTTCAAGGTCATGGAGTTTAAAAAATGCAATAAGGAGACGGTTAGTAGGATTTTCCCGACAAGTGAAGGGCTGTCTGAGACCAAATGACAGAAAAATACAGCATGAAGCAACGCATGGGGTAACCAGGGCTGTGACAGGGGCAGGAGAAGAGAACGAGAGGGTCGGGGAGTCAGGGATGGGGAGCAGAGGTAGGGAGAATCCAGATGACACAAAAGCACGGAGACTTTAAACTTAACCACACATAAAGCAAGGTCTTCTGACACCCAGCTCAGTAAGGTGATGAACTCTCGACTGATGTTTGTTTGAGTTCTGTTATTTGTCAGCAAGAGTCCTCATTATGAGTACTACTGTTTGTCACTGTTGCTGCTATTGTCGCCATCTCCTCTAGGAAGTCCTCAGTGAACTTGGGTGTGCACTTGCTGTGTTCTTACTGTAGCTTTTGTATGGTCCCCCACTAAACTGCAGTCGTTGTTATGGTCTGAATGTCTGCATAACCCCAGAGCCTTACGCCAAAATCCTGGCCCCCCAGGTGATGGTACCAGGAAGCAGGGCCTTGGAGAGGAAATTAGATATGAGGGCAGAGCCTTCATGAATGGGATCAGTGCCCTTGTAAAAGGGGCTCCACAGAGCTGCCTTGCCCCTTAGCCATGGAAAGATACAGTGAGACGTCTGCAGTCTGGAAGAGGCCCCGTCTGCACTGTGACCTCAGACTTGTGTCTCCAGAACTGTAAGAAGTAGGTTTCTGCTGTTTACAAGCCAACTAGTTTGTGGTATTTTGTTACAGCAGCCCAAATGGCCTAAAACAGTCTTAGAGGACTGGTACTACGTTTTTTTTTTATTAAACTTATCAGGGTGACTATTGGTTGACAGATCAGATAGGTTCTAAGTGTACAAGTCTATAACACACCACCTGTATGCTGCATTGCGTGTTTACTACCTGAACTCAAATCTCCTTCCATCACCATGTAATATGGTGTACTCTTAGCTACCATCACAGTGCTTGTGACATAGTGTTTGCAACACAATTACGTGTGAGTGTTAAAAATGATCTGCTTATCAGCAAATGTTAAATAATAAAATGAATCGTAAAAACATTAGAGTGTTTGATTTATGCCAAGATTGTTCTAAGCACTTGAAACGTATGAACTCATTTAATTGCCTCAAACCCGTGAATGAACTCATTTAATTGCCTCAAACCCGTGATGGTGACTCAGCTATCGTGCCCATTTCACAGATAAATCAAACGAGCAGCGAAGAGGCCCTGCACACACAGACGTCAACTCCAGACAGTGTGATTAAAGCAGCAGCACCCTGCCTCCAAAGTTCAGGGCTCCAGTCACGTTCATGTTCAGATAAAAGCACACCCTGCAAAACTTACTTTTCACAGTCACTACCCATGTGACAGCTGCTCACCAGAACAACCAAGGTCGAAGAAAACTTTCAGGTTCTAACTTTTTTATGAAGCACTGATTACGGCCCAGCAACATCTCACCACATTAAACATGTCAGTTTCCAAACCCTGTACGGAAAAGTCTAAAAATTGCAAGGATAAACCTAAGCTCATGAACCACATTCGTTCTTTCATGAATGAATCGTTCACTGTTTATTTACATATTCAAATACTTAATAAATGCCATGTTAGGACCATTAGCCTCCAAGTTTTGCTTCAGTCTGAAGGACCTGGGAATAATGACTTTAATATATTTTATACTAAAATGCCACCTCGAGCATTGTCCAGTTTTCAGAAAAAAATATGTCTATGTATCTTCAAAATGCAATGTTTTATCATCAAATTTAAATATCACCTATACTGTTAATTATGTTATATATTCTGAAGAGCAAATGGCTAATGATTATTTAAAAAATACAGTACTGTACATTGTATCTAGCACTTAGAATCCAGGTGCCATCTTGCAGTTAAAATACAGTATTTCTATATTCATTTTAACTCATCAAAGGTTAAAAAATGGAAAGGCACTAAATAGGTGGATTATTGTTGATCATCTATCATTCAGTTACATACCTCTACCTAAAAAAGACCAATGTTTCCTTCTGTATGATTGCATTTTCTTATTAGCCTAATGAAAAGTTTTTAAGAATCATGACAAGTAGGATAAATATAATCTACGAAAACAGATTTCTAAACTCAAATAAGGCTAGAAAACACTGCCTCTTCTATCTTTCTTAAAGAGTCACTATGCATCTTTATTAACAGCTCCCAGAAGATCTCCCATAAAGAAATCAGTTTAAATTTTCTATACGTCTGTGTTTTCCCCATAATGCCAATGAACAACCAATGGAAGGGACTTTGGGCAATGATGACCTATTGGATTATTTACCCAGTTCAATTTGTTCCCTTCTCTCCATTTTTTAAAAACTGTATTCAGTACACTGGGAACGGATATTGTAGCAAGTGAATTCTGTTTCATATGCCTTGTGCTCCCAGTTTGTTAGCATTTTATAGTTTATGACACACACATCGATTAATTCTCAAAGCAACTTTGTGGGATGGGAAGAGGTTTCATCCTCTTCCTCCTCATGCACACACTGCGCTAAGGTCACAGATACCAAATACAAAGTTTTTTCCTTTTTTTGTGTGTGTCCAGGACACAACTTTAGTATCCCTGGCTCTGCTCACAGCCTCTCCTCATTTGGAAGTTAATGGGATTGTGGGGGGAAAATAAGGAGGGGCTCTCTAACGCAGGTACGAAATAATTTTGTCTGATGCTACCAGTGATATCTACTGTGTAAAGTATGTGATATTTATTGGTCCAGTATTTAATGTTGATATAAAGGAAAGTGATTTTTATGAAAGTTAGTATCACATACTATTTTTCCTGTAAAACAAAATAAAATAAAGAATGCTGGAAGACACAAAACCCTTCCCCTTCCATGTCCATGTTTCTGGGTGGTGGCCCAGGGGACTCCAAGGGGTTGGTTCCCACTTTATTCCATCTTTGTTCCACTGTGCCTAGAGGTCAATAGAATTGTGAGAAATTACAGTGACCCCAGATCACACCAGAAATGCACTCAGAATATTGAGTTTGAGTGCTTTGTTCGTGGGGAATAGAGAAACTGAATGGAGAGTCTTCTTTCTAAAGGATAGTCTGGAGGCTTAAACAACAAGAGAAAAGACAAAACTCTCTCCCTTCAAATATATAAATGTCAAACAAAATTCTGGCAAATGGTGGCAGAGAAAGGATGTTTTAAGGATGGGTCCCAGGGCTGCTATAACTTTAACCACTGTCGTATGAAATGGCTTAGCAGGATCCCACTGCAGTTCCACTCCCAAAAACAAAATCGAGGCTCACAGACTGAGGCAAGGCTGGACCTCGGAGCTTCAGGAGGGCTGTGGATGATGGAAGGTAGTCGGGCCTCCTGCCCGGCACCAGCATAGATGCTACACCAAATATACCACTGGACATGGAACTATGGGTTTTCTCTATGGTTCTATTAGTTTATGTTTGGAAAATTGAAAAGTTAAGTCTGATTTATTTCTTAAATATTCACTAGCTACCATATGAAGGTATTTTCTACCTGGTTAATCTTAAAATAGATTTTCAAGAAATGCATTTGCACTGATCTCATAATTTACCTGAAGATGTGTTTTTGATGGAAAGAATTCTGGGTTTAGGTTTGATTTGGATTTTCTCTTCTTCAATTGGCTGGTCTTCATTTTGAGGTTCGGACACTGGATTTCCAAGCCCGTGTTCACTACCGTTAGGTGCTGTCTCCTCATCGTTTTTGATGGACAGCGAGGGCTCATCTTGTATCATATCACAGTTGGACTTCTTGGTTTTCAAAAAAGACAGTTTTGGAGAATTCTTCTGTTCATCATCTGATATGTGGAAATCATTTATTGTTTTCTTAACTGGATTTTCATCCACGGAGGTGTCAGAAAAATCACCTAAGGAAACTGAAAATGGAAGAAAAAATGGCTTCAGTGGTGCGCCTTAAAGTTGGGAAGGTTGCACTAATTAAAAGATTATCTTTAAAATTAGAAATGAACAATTTAGGCAGTTTTTATTGGCATTTATTAAATAGAAAGTTCATTAGTTTATTTAACACATGCTTATCAAGTCTGAATAGTGTGCCAACCACTGTGCCTGCTCTGAGAAGTCATGCAGAGTTTCCTGGAAATAACAGTTGGCCACAGGAGAGTTAGATTTTGGATTATAAAACTTTTATATATAAACAACCAGATTAGATTTTACTATGAGAAGAATAATACAGAATGTTAACCATATACCAATGATTAAATGATTGCTCTGATTGTTTTTAAGAGAACATTAAGTATTAATCACTGAATCTTAAAATATAAAACCAATTTCAAGTTTTGAATTCTGTATGTTTAGAATGAAATGTTATTGTTTGTATATAATCAAAAGAAAACAAATCATACCAATATTGATACACTGAGTTTTTAAAATTGAGTTCCTATTACAGCCCCAAAAAAAGATTTATAAAAAGCATTATAAAAGTGATTCTGATGTGCACTAAAGTTTAGTTCTATAGACCCTAGTAATTAACTTACTGTGGAGTCTCTTAGGGTTGACCTTAAAGATGAATTTGCTACACCACTGACAGACATCCTTGACTGCAAACCTACTGTCGGCTGATTTATATTTTCATACTGACATTCATAAACAACCAAGGACAATCATACAACTTCTTGGAAATTAATAGTGACTTTTACTTGAAAAAAAGTTGGAAATCTAAAACTAGTGAATTCATAGATACTATTTTTGCATGAGTGATTTTTTTGGAGGAATGGGCCAAATATAACTAAGAAAACAAAAAGAAGAGCAGGGGTTCATTTCCATATCCTCACATACCAATCTCATCGCTGTCAAAGTCGTCTGAGTATTCAGAACTCCTTTGTCTGGCCGAGCGAGCTGTAATTGCTTTTATTAGTTCATCCTGAAATAAAGTAATTAAAATCAATGTTTACTCAAAAGGCTCATATTTAGAATTAAGTATTTAAGCAAATAGTGCTCGGTTAATAATTGCTTTCAAACTCCATTTTTTTTATCACTGAAAGCCAACTTTGTGCCAGACACCCAAGTCCTCAGACTCAATGCAGAACATCACAGATAAGATTCCTGTCCTCACGGAGGTTCAGTTAAATTGGAGGAGACAATACCAAATAAAATAACTGTGGAGACTCAGACAGGATATATTATGAACTGGCATTCTGGAAGAAACTGGTACTGTTTATGATCTTTTGTTTCTGGAGACTGCAGTAAAGGATATAATTATTAACACTGCAAATTTTGAGGCTGAGTTCAAAGCTGTAGTGAGTGGACAGAGAAAACCTAAATGCTGTTATGTTACAATAAAGAAAAACCATAAAACATTTACATGGAAATTCCAAGTTAAAGTTGCCATTCAAGTTCTAAAAGCTGATTTAACTTTTATGTAAGACCCCAATCATTGAAGCCAGTTTGGTGGTCTAACACACAGAAGAGTTTGTAATATTAGAGGCCAAACACAATCATCTGCAAAATTAAAAAAAAAAGAAATGTAAGCCTTACTCCAACTTTATATAGGACTCTTCCTAAAATCAGTTCAAATCCAATGTCCCCAATCCAATGTTTATTTGTAAAGTCATTTGAAATACTGTACCTGGAAAGTGGTTCTTTTGGTGACTTTTGGACTCTTTGTGTATGCCAAAGTTGTGCTAAAAACTTCACCAGACATAATGTTTGGGATTTTTTCTTTACTTGTTACCTTTGTAAAATCGCTAATAAATGATAGGAACAATTCAATCACTGATGGTGCCTGAAATACAAAAAAAATTAGACTTTTTTTCATGCTTGAGAATTTCTAATACTAAACTTTATGCAACACCCCGTCCTGTCAAAGCCAAACAAAACCAGAAAAGCACGATGTGAACATTGAGCTACATGAGCTACAGCTACACTTAAAAATGAAGAGTTCTTGTAAAAAATATATCAAATTCTCATAACAAGCTTTTTAAAATATTCAAACTGAAGTTATCCTAAAATAATTTTACAACAGCATTTTAAGGACGAGCAAAAAATGACTGCAAATATTAATAGGCAAAAATGTTGCCAATTAAATTACAAACTTTATTTCTTACTTATCTTGCATTAAAAATTATGACATTGCTAATAAAAAGTCATACTTATTTAAAAGATACCAAGGGTGTTACTAGCATAAAGTTTATAACTAAGAGTACTACCAACGTAACAAAACAAACCAAAAATTGCTCGCGGACTGATCATAATGCTAAAAGGCAAACAGCGATTATTTTCCAAGACACTTTTCCCTCTTTCAAAGGTGTCAGCAAGGTAAGATAAACGAAGCTCCTCCGCGAAGTATAAATTGGCCCATACGTTTCTCGTACTTGAAGTGGAGGCCTGGGCCTGAGCCCCCGGGCCTAACACCCAGCTGCCCGTCCACTGCAGCGCGAACCGGGGGTCAGCTCCCCGCCCGCTCCACACCGCACTGCCCGCAGAGATCTGGGTGTTCTGCAGTGCAAGCCTGAGCACCGTCTCCGCCCCGTTCCTCCGCAATCCCCCCACCTCCCATGAAGTCCCCGTTCTGTATCCACCCTTGCTACGCCTGCGGAGGGCTCCCCGCAAACCTGAAGTGAGAGCGGCTGGACTCAGGAAAAACCTCTTCCCTGGGCCTGGCCTCGGCGATTCTCGGACACCGGGAACTGGACCGAGCAAGGGGGCGGGACCAAAAAAAGGAGGTGGTTGGCGGTTGCTAGGAAACAGTGTCTCCGGGAGGAAGTGACTTTCCTACCTTCTGGTCTCTCGGGTACCCAACACCGACCTACCGCGACACGCGTCGCTGGGGCAACCGTCCAGAGGAAGGAAATGACGTCAGCCCTCTGAGTCTCAGGAGAGGGGTGCACGCGGGCCGCCTGCGCTTCAGTTGTTGCCCAGGAGACGTGACTGGTCCAGCTTCCCTTCGCGCGCCAGGAGCCGTGAGCTTTCCAGCAGAGCGAGGGGCCTCACCCGCACCTGCTGTGTGAACCAAAGCACATTCATGATTTTGCCATGGTTAGGGCATGAAGTCTGTGACTTAGACTGACAGAGTAGTTTACAGACAAATAGGACAGAACTGAATAATAGGTGGTGATGTTTGCAAACTCAAGAGCCTAACTGCACGTTTGAATATTGGCGTCCCTTCCCTATACCCATGTGATGTGAAAGTTAACGTTTCTGTACCCCACTTTCCTCTTCTGAAAAAAGGAGACAGATAATAATAGCCACCTTAACGCGTTGCGGCGTGTATTAAATGAACTAATGCAGGGGGAATATACCTGCGAGAGGGCCTCGGATTGAATTCAGTCGATGTCACATAGGCTTTTTATGCTACTCAGCCGCAAAGGACCCGGACAGAATTTATCCCTTGTTCACACGGCTGAAAACCCATTTTCAGGTGTTTCTTTAATATAAAACTTCCCCTTCTTTTGTACGCAAGGGATAATCTGGTTAGGACCAAACTAGTCAGCAAAACGATTTAATAGGCTGGAGGATCTTATGCTGCTAAGTAACCAAAATCACCATCAATTAATTAGCATAAGTAATCCTTAAACAAAAGGCAAAAACAATTATTTAAATAATACTTTAAAATAACATGAATTTCTACGATTATAATTTAAAGGATGCTTTATCTTAAATTGTCTGAATAAATTTACTGTCTAGTAATCGAAATGTTCTAGTATTTTTCCCATCTCTAAAATTTATTGATTTTCACTTATTCAACAATTATTATAAACTAATCAAATTGAGATAGAGATTTAATAAATCAATGTATTGAAAAACTAAACGTACATTACAAAAAATATAAAATTTTGTAAAACTATGCTTTTAAACAATATGCACAATGCAACTTTTTAAAAAGTGTGCTCAGTTTATGCTGACTTGTTTGAAAATCTCATTTTGATCAACCTTTGCTTAATTTTGATGCTTTTAAACATTTTTGTGACTCTGCATATAAGACAGATTTTCTATTATTCACCAGTTACTGTTAGCTTTCTGATCCATATAAGTTATTAATCAATAAATATGATTCCATCATAGCATTTGCACCTCCAGTGAGAAAATAGTATCTGCATTTTCCTTATACATAAAGTATTAATTTGCTCATGCTGAAATACTTAGATTAATTCAAAATCTCTTCCCTGTTCATTTTTAAATCCATATGCTTGATCTAATTTTCATTTAGATAAGAATTTAAGAAAACAATTTTTAAAAAAGATAAAAAGAGCCTTTAAGAAAAGATTATGCATTTTCTACAGAAGGGACTAGATTTATTTTCAGCTTCAAAATAATTGATAAATACCAAGCTATGTCATGCAAAGCTACAATAAACCATGATGGTTAAAATGGTTAATTTCTCCACAAAACAAAAAGTGCAATGTATTTTCACTATTCTTTTAAGCAACAAAAATTTTTTGTTAATAACATTATATAATACCCGAATTTATAATATTTTATCTAATGCATAATTTATAATAAATATACATTATTGAATGAACTCATGAAAAAATAAATAGCATTTTAAACTGAAATAATTTAAAAACATTTAAAAAGAAGCTCAAAGATATTCAGTTTTAAAAAAATGAAAACAACAACAAAAAATTTCAGTAGTTTATGTAAATTTTCTTTCTATCCTACTTTTCATTTTTTAAATATATGTTAAATCTCATAAGTATTTGCCTAGTAAACTTTTTTTAGTTTAATACTGTTTTCACTTCTGAACCTTCTCTTCCTTCCTTCATCATTTGGTAAGTATGCCCATATCAATTTTATCGGTCATCTTTCAGGAATTCAAAGTTTAAACCAGACTAGGTCCCTACCCAGGGTTCTTACAGACTAGAGCCACGTGGAGGGCTGAGTAAACACATATTGACTACACACTGTGATAATTTCTCTGTAGGAGTACATAGAGCTGTTCTCAAGAGAGAGCAAAGAAATCTTCCTGGAGTTCTAAGAAGTTTTCAGAAAGTCAGTTCGAGTTGATTAATGAATATAGGACATAAGGAAGGATCTGAATTATGTTTTAGGCAGAGGAAATGGCCTATGACATGGACCCCATTCCATTGTGGGTATAAGTGGCTGAGCAGAGAGATACTGATGGTTCTTGGACTGTGCTGCCTGTCAGGCATGGAGGGGAGTGAGAAAATTCATTTTCAGATAAAGAAGCAACCGAGAAGTGACTCTTCTTTATAAGTTCCCTGCTCACACCTCAGTAGTCAAATTGCTTATGCCTTGTAACAGGTCACACAAATTGACAAAGGATCCTGTACTCACAGCCCTGGTTAAAACCATAAAGCACCTGTCTAGTATTTTGAGAAGTGTACTACACAGAGCAAACCCCCATGGGTGTCCATCCACAACCACTATACTTACATTAACACTGAGTGCTAATGTCAGAGGAGAATGCAAGTGCAGGTACTAATACCAGTGTTGACTATGGGATCAGTACAGCAGGAGAGTTACAGGAGGGAAGAGGGAAATGTCAGCATCCCGAGGAAAGACAGACAGCATGATTGACTCTTAGCATCTTCTAAGTGAGGGAAACTTGCTGTTAGTCAAATGTACCAGTAAGTAGTCTTCTTGATTGTCATATAGAATACATGAATTATTATATAACAAGAGAAATATGCTTTCTCATTCAAACTCAGAACTTGTCACTCTGAACAAATTATTTTTGTTATCAGGGTAATGTTCTTGGTCAAATGCTCTCTAAAGATATTGTTCTAGACAAAGATACGTGCTCTGGGTTGATACCACCTCCACTCCCTGTATGTTGCTAACTGTCCTGTGCTGAGTATAATTCTGTATACTTTACTCATATCATTTAATTCAGCCTTTCAAAAAGTCTGTGATATTGTTGTTTTTTTATGTCTATATTTCACAGGTGAAAAAAAAAGAGAGATGGTAACATCTTGAGATGCAGGTAGGTTTGAAAATACATTATTTTTGCCTGTGAAACATCCCAGACAAAACTGGTTTGTTATGTAGACTTTATTATGTTATTGTGGTTTTAAGAAATCTTCACTTTCATAATGTTTCATATGTAGGAAACCACACTGTCTTTACTTAGGCAGTTGATCTAGTGTTTTCTTCCTGTCCTACTCTAGTAGCATAACGAGTCCTCGTCTGTCATTTCTCCACGTGCACCTCCCCCTTCCATTCACCTGTTTGAGATGCTTGGTGCCTTCCTGCTGTGGGTGCCTTTCCTTTAAGACAACTCTAGTTTCGGGATAGAAAAGAAAAATCACCAATTTACACGTTTTTACACAAACACATAATGAATTTTCTGTGGAATTAAGATGCAGCCTTGAGGAAAGCCCAAGCATCACTTAGTGGGAAATTTCCTTGTGAAAGATCATTTGTTTCAGGATTTTCAAGGGAAGAAGGGCCAGAGCCCAGTGATAGTTGATGAGAATAAAACATAATTTTCAACACTATGAATAAAAGCTAATTTTGGTTTCGCACTGTACTCATGTTAGAATGCCATTTTCCTTTTTCTTTTCCTTCCTTTCTTCCCCGGCCCCCACCTTTTTGTTTGTTTGTCTGTTTTGGGAAATCTTTTTCAGAAGACATCCCGTGGCATGCATTAGTAACAATATTCCAGCAGATGGCAGCAGAGGATTTTAGCACCGGAGACTCTGTAGCAAGGATAGGATCATCATTTTCCTGATATTTTACTTTGCTTAGAGTGATTTAAAAAATACATTGAGAAATAAACTATTTTAAAATTATTTCATAAAACTTCTTGAATAATTAGCTTTTATATTAGAAAGCTGGAAATGTAACAATGTGACAATAAATGTTTTTATAAATATTTTTAAAAGACTGTGCATATAAGCTGCTTAAATGACAATCCATTCCCTATTCGCAAACCCAGACATAATTATTGCTAATAGTTGGAATTCTTTTCCATACTATTTTTCCTATGCACATAAAAATATTCACATTACATGTGTTTTTCTATAACCTTTTTCTTTTTCTGGGATATTCTTTCCTGTTAATCAACAGCTGAATTGTGCATAACTCTACGGTTATACAATTATGCATTTTAAAAATCATTATTAATATTCACTTACAGTGTTTCCAATTTTGATGAGAAGTCTTGAATGAATGTTGTGGTATATTTATTTATTTTGGATAAAATCCTAGGGGTGGACTCATTGTGTAAATGCACATTAACAGTCATTATGGTTATTGTCAAAATGCCTTCTGGAGAAGTTTTTGAAACATAACATTCTGAAGTACATCATAAGAAAACTTCACCTGAACTTACTCATTATTTAGCCACACTTACTGCACCCTTATAAGATGCAATTTTGTTTCCTAAATTTTTCTTTTCATTTTCACCGGTGCAAGTCTATTTATTGTCTGCTTTAAGTATAAATTAATATATTTGGTACAAATAAAAAATGAAATGTCAAATAAAAATGCAAACATTAAGTATTTTCTTAGTTTTTAAAGAAAACAGTAATTGAGAGGGGATGAAAGATATTCTCTTCCTTCCCTCTATTTCTAATATAAAAAAAAGAACAGAGGTTAAGGAAGGAGGAATTATTTAAATATAACTAAAAAATGTTCTGTGGATGAAAATAAAACTTCAGTTTTCCTGAATTATATAACTATCATTTATAGTATTAGGAAGAAACTATGTAATATAGTTCTCTTAAGGAAATCCATTTGGTCACAGGAACTAAAAATAACATAAATTAAAGCTCTTCATGTTTA